TAATATGAGTGTTCCCTTGTCTTCAGCTGACATTTGGTCTTAAGAAGTATGTTTAGTGGTGTAAATATCCAACCATTTTAGGAATTCGAATCCATTTTCCCATTTTCGTTGCGCGTGAAACTCCAAGAATACTTTTTTTTTTATCAGTGAGTAATCTCGCAAGTTATTGTTTAAATTGTTTGTGTTGAGCTCAAGGCCTATTAACCTCTGGAGGGTTATTAAGGCCAATCAACCTCTGGAGGGTTATTAAGACCTATCAGCTTCTAGAGGGTTATTAAGGCCTATTAACCTCTGGAGGGTTATTAAGGCCAATCAACCTCTGGAGGGTTATTAAGACCTATCAGCTTCTAGAGGGTTATTAAGGCCTATTAACCTCTGGAGGGTTATTAAGGCCTATCAACCTCTGGAGGGTTATTATAGCCACCACAACAGCTTACTGACCAAGTAGCAAGTATACTTGAGTCCTAAACATTGTCCAGGACTAAGGTATACTCTCAGAGAATACACACCGAGTATATATATATATATATATATATATATATATATATATATATATATATATATATATATATATATATATAAATGAAATGGTATGAAAAGGTATATATATATATATATATATATATATATATATATATATATATATATATATATATATATATATATATATATATATATATATATATATATATATATATACGAACATTTAATATTAATAAAATACATATCAATATTTACTTATAATACTAAACATAATTGCTAATGATAATAATAATAATTATTTCAAATAATAATAATATTATTGTTTTGCAGTTTATATAAATTTCAATAACTCGAATATTGTTATGGCAACACCAACCAATTGCCAGATTGTTCTTGTTACTTAAATTATTTGTGTTTGTTTTCATATATGTATTTTGTGTGTATTTGAAACAATAGATGACAATTGTTCCAGGAAATAAACCTGATCTATTGTCAACCATTGTTTCCAGTACCACAGGAGAAAATAGATTTTTTAACGTAATAAGTACAAAGGATTAGTTAAAATTAAAAGCAGTGTGATATTAATGCTTCTAATCACTTACATCTATATATATTTCCTTTCACCTTAACCACTTCCTCAAAATTTTTTTACAAAATATAATATTTTTATGTTATAATTGTTTCTGTGTTGACCATTTTGGTCAAAGGTGACATTCAGAGCAGGTAGGCCTACATCACTGACCTTTTCCATATATTTTGCTGCTATCTAGGTCACTAAAATCGATATTTTTTTAGCTATATGGGTGGCTAAAATCAATTTCCATTTATATGGGTGACTAAAATCTATATTTTCCGTCTATATGGGTGACTCAAATCGATGTTTTCTGTCTAAATGGGCGACTAAAATCTGTATTTTCTGTCTTTATGGGTGACTAAACTCTATATTTTCCGTCTATACGGGTGCTTAAAATCTAATTTTTTCCATCTCTGTGGAACTAAAATCTATTTTTTATATCTATATATTGTAATTGTCAGAATAGCTCTGTTATCAGTGATTTCAGACCAAATTGGTTGAAATACTTTGAGCTTCGTAATTTTACTTTTTACACCAAGTAATATTTGTATATTATATTTACAAGAGTTGTTACATTCTTGTACAGCGACCAGCACGCGTAGCGTTTCGGGCAAGTCCAGGGGCCAGATTCACGAAAGCACTTAAGCAAACACTTACGAACCTGTACATCTTTTCTTAATCTTTGGCGGTTTTGTTTACAACTATTAAACAGTTAATGAGCTCCGAAGCATCATGAGGCTGTTTATAACAAAAACAACAGAGGAATGGGAAGTTTTCATGCTTGTAAACTGTTTAATAAATGTAACCAAAGCCGTCAAAGATTGAGGAAAGATGTACACGTTCGTAAGTGCTTGCGTAAGTTCTTTCGTGAATCTGGCCCCTGAATCCTAATTTTCCCGGGAATACGACCCGCCAAATCGTTTAACAACCAGGAACCCATTTTACTTTTGGGTGAACAGTGGCTACAGTTAAGGACTGGTGCCCGGTCAATCCTCCCCGGCCAGGATACGAACCCCAGGCCAAAGCGCTTGCGAAACGCCAGGCGAGTGTGTTACCTCTTCGCCACTGGGCAAGATATTCTTGTGCAGTAGCCAGATTTGTTTGTGCTAGTGGGAGGCTGTTGGGCTGTTGTTGTTGTTAAAGACTCAGCTACTGGGAACAAAGTTCCAAGTAGCACGGGCTATAGTGAGCCCGTAATGGACTTACCAGGCACAGGAGCGGGGCTGTAACTGTTCTGTGAGTGGGAGGCTAATAGATCAGCCTTATCTATCCCCCTCTATCCCCTAACGATCAATTAATACCCCCAACCTGTGAGGTTGGGGATATTAGATGAACTTACAGCTAGTTTATGAGCTACACTGTGTAATTTTTCATATAGAATAGGGTAGCAGCACATTGCTGTGTATACCTATCTTGAGGTTACCCCTCAGATGATTTCGGGGCTTAGCGTCCCCGCGGCCCGGTCCTCGACCAGGCCTCCTTTTTGTTACACACCTGCAGGAAGCAGCCCGTAGCAGCTGTCTAACTCCCAGGTACCTATTTACTGCTAGGTGAACAGGAATATTAAGGTGAAAGAATCTCTGGCCATTTGTTTTCGCCTCCACCGGGGATCGAACTCGGAACCTCAGGACTACGAATTCGAAGCGCTATAGATCTCTAGAAATATTCACATACAGAACATTGACTAAATTAATTTAGTTGTCACCTTCCATCTGAATTTCCCCGTTTTCTGTGGTGCACGAAAACTCTCTTTATTCAAAGTGAACTTTTTTGTACGTCTAAGCTCTATAAAGCTTTAAGCTTTAACTATAAACTTGAACTAAGCTGACATGTCAACTTCCCTCCTCGGGGGACAGGCAGCCAGCGTATGTATGCATACTGTAGGCATGTATCTAGATCCTGCCTCCATCCCCACAAAAAAAGTCTAAATATTATATATATATATATATATATATATATATATATATATATATATATATATATATATATATATATATATATATATATATATATATATATATATATATATATATATATATATATATGCGTGTGTGTGAGCCTTTGTGTGTACTCACCTAATTGTGCTTGCGGGGGTTGAGCTCTGGCTCCTTGGTCCCGCCTCTCAACTGTCAAGCAACAGGTGTACAGGTTCCTGAGCCTACTGGGCTCTATCATATCTACATTGTAAACTGTGTATGGAGTCAGCCTCCACCACATCACTGCCTAATGCATTCCACCTGTTAACTACTCTGACACTGTAAAAGTTCCTTCTAACGTCACTATGGCTTATGTGGGTACTAAGTTTCCACCTGTGTCCCCTTGTTCGGGTCCCACCCGTTTTAAAGAGTTTGTCTTTGTCCACCCTGTCAATTAACCTGAGAATTTTGTAGGTGGTTATCATGTCTCCCCTTACTCTTTTGTTTTCCAAGGACGTAAGGTTCAGCTCCTTTAGCCTTTCCTCGTAACTCATTCCTCTCAGTTCAGGGACCAGTCTGGTGGCATACAGCTGAATCATCAATAACTTCGTCTTGTACTCACCCTGTGTGCCTGTGTATGTGTGTGTGTGTGTGTGTGTGTGTGTGTGTGTGTGTGTGTGTGTGTGTGTGTGTGTGTGTGTGTGTGTGTGTGTGTGTGTGTGTGTGTGTGTGTGTGTGTGTGTGTGTGTGTGTGTGTGTGTGTGTGTGTGTGTGTGTGTGTGTGTGTGTGTGTGTGAGCCTGTGTGTGTGTGTGTGTGAGCCTGTGTGTGTACTCTAAGCCAATGTGTGTGTGTGTGTGTGTACTCTGAGCCTGTGTGTGTGTGTGTGTGTGTGTGTACTCTGAGCCTGTGTGTGTGTGTGTGTGTGTAAGGTGTGTGTGTGTGTGTGTGTGTAAGTTGTGTGTGCGTGTGTAAGTTGTGTGTGTGTGTGCATGTGTAAGTTGTGTGTGTGTGTGTGAGCCTGTGTGTGTGTGTAAGTGTGTACTCTGAGCCTGTGTGTGTGTAAGTTGTGTGTGTGTGTGTGTGCATGTGTATGTTGTGTGTGTGTGTATGTAAGTTGTGTGTGTGTGTGTGCATGTTGTGTGTGTGTGTATGCAAGTTGTGTGTGTGTGTGTGTGCATGTGTAAGTTGTGTGTGTGTGTGCATGTGTAAGTTGTGTGTGTGTGTGCATGTGTAAGTTGTGTGTGTGTGTGTATGTACTCACCTAGTTGTATTCACGTAGATGTTCTTGCGGGGGGTTGAGCTTTGCTCTTTCGGCCCGCCTCTCAACTGTCAATCAACTGTTACTAACTACTAACTAATTTTTTTTCCAACACACACACACCCCAGGAAGCAGCCCGTAACCTCTGTCTAACTCCCAGGTACCTATTTACTACTAGATGAACAGGAGCATCAGGGTGAAAGAAACTTTGCCCATTTTTGTATCTCGCCAGCGCCGGGAATCGAACCCGGGCCACAGGATTTCGTGTACAGCGTGCTATCCACACAGCCACCGGCGTCCTATGTGTATGTGTGTGTATACATATGTGGGTGTGCATATGTATGTGTAAAATATACGCACGTGTATACATGTATTATACATCTACATTCAGACACGTATATCAATGCGTATCTCCCCTCTGAACGAAAAAACTGGAGCAACGATGCTTTTTCGTTTTTCCTAAGATGACCTCCCCCACCTTTCTCAGGTCAAATCACTTTCACTTCAACCTACTATTAAAAAAATGAACACAGACTTGTCTGTTCAAAGAATGAACAATTAGATAAATTTATATATATAGATATATAGATTTATATATATTTATATATACGAAGAATCAAGGACTGTTACCTTGTGGGATGTATCTCTTCAAGCAACGTTCGATAGACTGACGGGTCAAGCAGGCGGCGCGCGGTTTATATACCCCGGGACGGCGAGGGTTGCCAGGGGTCGCCGGCCACCCTGTGCGTTCGTATGTTCGGTCCGGTCTTCGGCCACCGTCGTGCGTTCGTAAGTCCGTTCCGTTCGTTCCGTAGCGAGGTGACTGAGCGGAATATATCGGCGGTGACATTGCAGGCGGCTGCTGTCTGACTCCGCTCGCTGCCTTGGCTGCCTAGGCGTCCTTTTTTTGTACTCTTGGTTAATGTGTAAGCTTCGGACTCAGACACTTGGGGTTCCAGGTTCGAGTCTCCCAGAGTCCAGGTGAATGATGGGTTATGGTTGTTTGGGTTGTAGGCTGTAGGTCTGGCCAGGATTGGGATTGGTGAAACGAGTCTGTACTCACCTCGGGCCTGTACTCACCTCACCATGGACCTAGTAGCCTGGTGGATAGCGCGCAGGACTCGTAATTCTGTGGCGCGGGTTCGATTCCCGCACGAGGCAGAAACAAATGGGCAAAGTTTCTTTCACCCTGAATGCCCCTGTTACCTAGCAGTACCTGGGAGTTAGTCAGCTGTCACGGGCTGCTTCCTGGGGGTGGAGGCCTGGTCGAGGACCGGGCCGCGGGGACAATAAAAGCCCCGAAATCATCTCAAGATAACCTCAAGATAACCTCACCAGAATGTAGTTATTGTGTCCTGTGCAGGGCTGGGCTCCAGCTCCTCAGCCCCGGATGTTGGATACAGTGTGGTGGAGGCAGACTCCATCCATACAGCTTCATATGTAGCTATGATAGAGCCCAATAGGTTCAGGAACCTACATACACCAATTGATTGACAGTTGAGAGGCGGGACCAAAGAGCCGAAGCTCAACCCTCACATGTACAACTAGGTGAGTACAGTGACCTTCCGCGTGATCTGACCTCAACAGACCACGTGTTAGGCCTATCAAGCATTGTCTCTATATTCACTTGTATCTCAGTTAATAATCTTCCATGTCGTGATCATGTCTCCCGCTGCTCTCGGCTTCCTCCAGAGCGATGAGTTTCAGGTCTTCTAATCTCTCCAGGAAGGTCAAGTTGAGACTTATTCACTCCATGAAATGACCTTTTTGTAAGATATATTTTGTGTTTCTTCAGGTGGGGGGTTCCATACTGGCGCTGCATACTCAAGAATGGGTTTTACATACGTTGAGTACATAGCGTTTGAAGGGGTTCATTTTTGTTGGTCTATGTTCACTGAATATGTGTTCTTTTCCACCCTGTTAATTACCCTGAGAATTTTGTATGTGGTGATCATGTCTCGCTTAATTCTTGTATCGTCTAGTGACATGAGGATTAATTCCTCTAGGTGCTCCTCATGCCTCTCAGCTCTGGCATTAGTCTGGGTCATACCTCTAAACAGTCTCCAGCTTTGTTTTATGTTTATAAAGCTTTAAGGACTCCATGCTTGTGCTGCACATTCCAGAACTGGTCTAACGTACGTGGAATCCAAGATAGTTTCCATTTTTTCCAACGTCTAGTGTGTCTGGCCTCCTATTACCGGCGTCCTTAGTAGTTGCATTGCACTTATTTGTGTTACTTTCATGTAGCCACTTGTTTTAAGTATTCTTTAAGTGTGTGTGATCACTTAGTTGTACTCACCTAGTTGTGCTTGCGGGGGTTGACCTTCAGCTTTTTTATCCCGCCTTTCAACTGTCAATCAACTGGTGTACAGGTTCCTGAGCCTATTGGGCTCTATCATATCTACATTGTAAACTGTGCATGGAGTCAGCCTCCACCACATCACTGCCTAATGCATTCCACCTGTTAACTACTCTGACACTGAAAAAGTTCCTTCTAACGTCTCTGTGGCTCATGTGGGTACTCAGTTTCCACCTGTGTCCCCTTGTTCGCGTCCCGCCAATGTTGAATAGTTTATCCTTGTTACCCGGTCGATTCCCCTGAGGATTTTGTAGGTTGTGATCATGTCCCCCCCTTACTCTTCTGTCTTCCAGTGTCGTAAGGTCCCGCAGCCTTTCCTCGTAACTCATGCCTCTTAGTTCTGGGACTAGTCTAGTGGCATACCTCTGAACTTTTTCCAGCTTCGTCTTGTGCTTGACAAGGTACGGGCTCCATGCTGGGGCCGCATACTCCAGGATTGGTCTTACATATGTGGTGTACAAGATTCTGAATGATTCCTTACACAGGTTCCTGAAGGCTGTTCTGATGTTAGCCAGCCTCGCATATGCCGCAGATGTTATTCTTTTTATGTGGGCTTCAGGAGACAGGTTTGGTGTGATATCAACTCCTATATCTTTCTCTCTATCCGTTTCGTGAAGGACTTCATCTCCCATTCGGTATCCAGTGTCTGGCCTCCTGTTTCCACCGCCTTGTTTCATTACCTTACATATACTTGGGCTGAACTTTAGTAGCCATTTGTTGGACCTTTCCTACAGTCTGTCTAGGTCATCTTGTAGCCTCATACTATCCTCCTCTGTCTTGATCCTCCTCATAATTTTTGCATCATCAACAAACATTGAGAGAAACGATTCTATACCCTCTGGGAGATCATTTACATATATCAGAAACAGTATAGGTCCAAGGACTGACCCCTGCGGGACTCCACTCGTAACGTCTCGCCAATCTGAGACCTCACCCCTCACACTGACTCGTTGTCTCCTGTTGCTTAGGTATTCCTTTATCCAATGGAGTACCTTCCCTTTCACTCCAGCCTGCATCTCCAGCTTTTTCACTAACCTCTTGTGTGGTACTATATCAAAGGCTTTCTGGCACTCCAGAAATATGCAGTCTGCCCACTCCTCTCTTGTCTAATCATTATCGCCTGGTCATAGAATTCTATTAACCCTGTAAGGTAAGATATCCCATCCCTGAACCCACGCTGGGAATGAGCTGCGAAATTCCTTATCTCCGGGTGTGTATTCACGTAGTTGTGCTTGCGGGGGTTGAGCTCTGCTCTTTCAGCCCGCCTTTCAACTGTCAATCAATCAACTGTTACTAACTACTAATTTTTTTCCATACACACGCACGCAGGAAGCAGCCCGTAACAGCTGTCTAACCCCCAGGTACCTATTTACTGTTAGGTAACAGGAGCGTCAGGATGAAAGAAACTCTGCCCATTTGTTTCCGCCGGCGCCGGGAATCGAACCCTGGACCACATGACTATGTATCCAGTGTGCTGTCCACTCAGCCGCTAGGTGTGAGAGAGTGTGTGTTGCTGCGGACTAAGTTACAAGACATTATGAACTGGTTCTCGTTTTCTTTTCATTGGTTAATGGCGCTTAAAATTGAGCTTTTACCACCAACTCCGGTTTTTGTCCCTCAGTGATAAGAGTTCTGGCGTCTTGTGATTTGTATTCCTCCTCTTCCTCCTCCTCCTCCTTGCCTACCAGTACTTACCTAACAGTGATTAGTGCGGGTGGGTGAGGCCTATCTCTTGGTACCCAACCTACGAGCCTCGGTGTACCCATTATCTTACAGCTTAACTGTTCTGACCTTCAAATTCATAGTCGAATCTTGCTTTAAAGTTGTGGATGGAGGCGGCTTCCATAACTTCTCTCAGAGTGTTCCACTTGTTGACCACCAGGACAGTGTACGAATATATATACTACGGGCTCACCATAGCCCGTGCTACTTGGACTTTTGGTTCCAAGTAGCGAATCTTCAACAACAACAATGTACGAATATTTCCTTACGTTCCTTCAGCTTACTTGTGTTTCTAGCACATATCTGTGTCCTGCTTGTCCTCTCAGTCTGAAGTGGCTATCCTTTTGAACCTTATCTATTTCCTTCAGTATCTTGTATGTTGTGACCATGTCCCCTGCTATTTTCTCTATCCTCTAAGGGCTGTGAGATATTGTTCCATTAGCTTATCCTCATAGTTTTGACACTGCAAACTTCTGCACATGTTAATTTTGTTTTGAAGCTCACAAGGTGCAGATTCCAAGCTGGCGTTGCATATTCCAGTACTGGTCTAGCATAGGTTGTAAAGATGATTTTGAACGGATGTTTAATAGAGCTATAATCGACATTCTTATGACGCCGTTCTTGCTCTGCTCTGTTATACCTCTTCCTCCTCCGCCTAAAACAGTTTTGTAGGAAGGTGGAGCTGTGCCCAGGAGGCTACCTTGAGGCTACCTTGAGGTGCTTCCGGGGCTTTAGTGTCCCCGCGGCCCGGTCGTCGACCAGGCCTCCTGGTTGCTGGACTGATCAACCAGGCTGATAGACGCGGCTGCTCGCAGCCTGACGTATGAGTCACAGCCTGGTTGATCAGTTATCCTTTGGAGGTGCTTATCCAGTTCTCTCTTGAACACTGTGAGGGGTCGGCCAGTTATGTCCATTATGTGTAGTGGAAGCGTGTTGAACAGTCTCGGGCCTCTGATGTTGATAGTTCTCTCTCAGAGTACCTGTTGCACCTGTTGCACATGTTGTACCTGTAGGCGTCGTCATCATTGGCACCGGAAACAGTGTTGTTGAGTCTGCCCTCGTAAGGTTCCACAACGTCGAGAAACTGTCGTACTAATATATCTTCCAACCGACCAGAGATCCAAAACAGCAAACAGATCACGTACGCATGAACGTCACTTTCGCGAGCCGCTTCCATTCTCGAGTACGACAATTTTTGGTCTTATGTAACGCATACGAGCGAAATGCGACGTTCTATGGATGAGGACAGTTTGTTGTCGTCTTCCGGTAGATTTATGGGTCAAGTTTTTGTACCAGGGAAATAGTTAGGTGACACGAAATAATTCCTAACACAATAATTTCGACGTTAAAATTGTTATTACTAATGGAAATGTAATATTATTCGTAGCTTGTCTTGATCGCCCCACTTGCTTGTAAGGCTCTAAATGTTCTTTTCTGGACAATTTTCTGTAGCAACGTGAGTTAATTCGAGTATAATTGAATGTGATCTTGTGCAAGTGGCCATTAATCATACAAGATGGTTATGGCCTGTTGGTGTGACTCCCGTCTTAACTGCCGAACCTAATGAGGTAAATTGGTCTAATAGATGTAAAGATGATCGCCATCGTTCTCATCTTACACAACGGAAGGTAATTACATAAAGAGAAAGCACCAAGCCACTAGAGCTGTGTAGCACTTGGAAGAGATATGAGATAGACTAAGCGCTGTGATATAAGGAGAAAGCACCAAGTCACTAGGGGAGTGTAGCACTTGGAAGGGATATGAGATAGACTAAGTGCTGTGATATAAGGAGAAAGCACCAAGTCACTAGGGGAGTGTAGCACTTGGAAGGGATATGAGATAGACTAAGAGCTGTGATATAAGGAGAAAGCACCAAGCCACTAGGGCTGTGTAGCACTTGGAAGGGATATGAGATAGACTAAGTGCTGTGATATATGGAGAAAGCACCAAGCCACTAGGGGAGTGTAGCACTTGGAAAGGATATGAGATAGACTAAGCGCTGTGATATAAGGAGAAAGCACCAAGCCACTAGGGCTGTGTAGCACTTAGGAGGGCTATGAAGACTAGGTTCTAGGATTGGATGGAGGGAAGGAACAGTGCCCAACTACTTGGACTATTGGGGATTAAATGCGGACCTGCAAGAAGCGAAGTCTCCGCTGTACCGATCAGTCCAAATGGATAGGGTCTTACTAGATGTGCGGTCTTCTCTTGCACTTTGTACTTCACGTTTGGGTTAGATCGTAAACAAGAACCTTAACTTAGACGCGAGTAATACATGATTACAAAAATATATGAATATTATGGTATCCAGGAGTTGGAGAACTATTGTGGTTTGCATCATGAAAGAACATTATTAGGCCAATCAAACTTACAAACAAACATTATCATTATTTTGGAAAGCAAAAAGTAAAACATAGTTGTTTCTCAGTCTTTTATATAATATAATATTACATAAACATACACAACCTTGCAACTGTGTGCAGTTAAAATGTTACATAAATAAAATATATCTTTACAAAAATATTCTGTTAAGTGATCAAAAGTATGATATTTTTTGTTGGAGAATCGAAAAGAGTAGTATGATATATTTAACTATTGCTGTTGGCATCTGCATCATGGTTGGTGGCATTCTCTCGGTATATTTTCTAGGTACCGAATTTCACATGCTCGACTTTTAGGGGGTACTTGTGTGTTTTTGGACCCTATTTAGGGCTTTTTAAGGTTGAGGACCCCAAATTATTGAACAAATTTTAGGCAACCTAAGTTTCGGTGATTATATTTAAGAATCCAAGTTAGGCACCTAAGTTTATAGGCTCAAGTTAAGAGACCTATTAGGCCCTAAACTTATGAACATAAGTTAAGAGAACTCTATTAAGGGTCTTGCTTAGTAACTTTGGTTATTGTATCTAAAGTTAGTTAATCCTGACTTGAAGAACTCATGTCTATATGTTCTTGTAAATCTAGAGACCTCAAATTGTTAACCTTAAATCTAAGGACCTAAATTTATATGGCATGATTAACGTTCTCAAATTTAGGAACCTAAATTGACATACATAGATTAAAGTGTAAAAAAAATGATGAATGATCACATATAGAAACCTAAATTTAGGAACCTAATTTGCCATGATTTTAAGAAAATAGGTTGTCATACCACAATTTTAAGGTACCTGTAATTTTTTAATATTTTGCTACACGAAATTTGTCCATGCCAAAAAAGTCATATATATTTAAACATTTTCGTACCTCCTCGGATGAGTGTTGCCACGATAGTGAGCTATATATATATATACTTTTCCCCCACCCCCCTCCCCCCAAAAAAACAAAAACAAATCAATGAGCATCTCAATGGATACCATCTGGAGCAGCACCGTACCAAAATTATCGCATAATGTCAACTGCGATACTTAAACATTATCGCACATGAACTAGAGGTGAACAATCCCCCTTTTATCCTAGTGTCTGGGAGTCCTAATATCCAACCTTCGGACACACTGTCTTCTCGACGTATTTTGTATCGTAGACCGTATGGAACTGGGGTACCAGATTGGTCTTGTAGACGGTCTGATAGGCCACGTCCAGCTTGGTGATGTACTGAGGCAGCACCTTGGTCTCGTAGACGGTGTCGTAGACCACCTGGTTCTTGATGATACTCTCCACGTACGTCTGGGTCACGTACTTGGGCAGCACCTCCTTCTTGGTCACGTACACGGGCTTGTAGTCCGTGAGGTAGTTGATCTTGTAGTCAGTCACGTACTGCACCTGGGGCAGGTACACGACGCTGGTCACGTACTTGGGCAGGTACTTGGTCAGGTACACGTCTTGGTACACCTTTTCCACGTGGTTCAGGTACGTGACGGTAGGGATCAGCTCGGTCTTGAAGACCTTGTTAGGCACAGGTACCTGTAAGAGGGAAGGGGGGGGGGGTATTCAGTGCTTGGCGTTAGTATGCTAATTACCTGTCCAGTATGCTAATTACCTGTCCAGTATGCTAATTACCTGTCCAGTATGCTAATTACCTGTCCAGTATGCTAATTACATGTCCAGTATGCTAATTGACCTGTCCAATATAAAATAACTTCTATATAATGATTATTAAACTAACTCACTATAGCATGATCATTTTCTGTCTGCGACGATAATTACCTGCAAAGTCTGATAGCTACGTGCTTAATACGATAATTACCTCAACAATATCGATTAATACTTATATAATATGATAATTATATGTTTACCTTATTATAAAAGTTAACATGAGGACTTAGAGGTTAACTTATTTAATGCAAAAGAGATATGTGGGCGAGTGTGTGATAACACTCTCTTCACCCACCTACTGCTCCAGCTGCTCACCTACTCCTCCACCCACCCACCCACCTACTACTCCACCCACCTACCTACTCCTCCACCCACCTACTCCTCCAGCAATACCCACCTCCTTGAGGATCTGCTCGTACTTGGTGACCCAGACGACCTTGGGGTAGCACTTGGCGGGGATGGGGAGAGGGGCGGCGTACACGCCCCCAGCCACCGCCTCTGGCTCCCCCGCCACCACCGTCGCCGCGGCCGCCACCACCGCCAGTGTCGCCGCTAAACTCCACATCTGCGGCAAACAAACAAAACAAACACGGTTTACTATGATTGGTTATATATATATATACCCATATAAACCGAAGTCGTTATCTACTGAGCCCCCGGCACCCCATGAGAGGAAGGATAGCAGAGAGGGACCCCAATGAGTCAAAGTAGCTCCTTAAAAGTCCCATTTGGGCAGAATATAGGTGCCTCTGGCATCCTTCCTATTATGGGGTGCTGGCGGCTCAGCAGGAAGATTATATATAAACAGATTATATATATATAAAACTCAGTAGGTAGTTTTATATATATATATAAGCCTTGTCATGGGGGGTATACACACTACCGGTCAGACGAGAGAGAGAGTGCAACTTTCCCTTAGAGTGACCTAGCAATACGGAAGAGTGTTGCCTCCTACTCCTGCAACTGTGACCTTTTGTGTACTCTTTGACCCCCCAATCTCTTGTTGTTGCTGACTATGTTCATAGTGAACATGTATGTAGAGTTTGGGACATTCATTGATTTTGTTTATGTAAATATATGAATAATAATAGTTAATACGAAAATAACATTTGTATTACAGACATTATTATTAATTTCACTAAATAAGCAACGAGGCATACGCTAAGTGTGTGTAAATCCAGCTTGGTTAATCACGAAGTAATTAACTCGTGATTAACAATGTGACAATGTCAGACCACGAAAGAGCAATTAAGACCGGAATTGCCAAATATATATATATATATATATATATATAAAGTACACACACACGAAAGAAACCCTGAGTCGACTGAGGACTATGTCTCAAGCTGATCTCAAGACAAGAAAGGTTTGCGAATTGAGTTGGTGAAATAATGTGGAAAAGGAAATATGCCGCAACGTGAAATTTTAAAATATGTGAGAAGTTAAAATGTAAGTGACGCAAGAGGTGAATGTTATAGTCGCACGTATTAGACGAATTATGAAATATCTCTGAACTGAATTCACATAATAATACCCCAAAAATGGACAATGGTACATTGTTTATATATATATATATATATATATATATATATATATATATATATATATATATATATATATATATATATATATATATATATATATATATATATATATATATATATATATCCCGTCCCAGCTACGTTAAATAGATTCTAGTTATACTGATATTACTGCTGATTGAAATATTATTTGTACATTTTAGCTGAAAAATAATGATTATAAAAAATAAAAATAAAAAACGATGTTGACACTACTGTTGACTTCAAATCATATTACCAAGTTTAAGGATTGATGATTCTGAGGCTTATCAGAAGAATTAAGTCCACAAATTCCTTAATTACCAACCTGCAAGTCTATAGTTGTTAAGTTAAAAAGACTTAATCAACTTAAAGTGAAAGGGAGAGAGGGAATCGGGGGGGGGGGGGGGGGGATAATCACTGAACGTAATTTTCATAGTACTTTTTTATGTAACTTTGCAGTTTTTTTGTAACCGAACGGAATAAATTTTTCTTGTATGGCAATTACTGATGACTGTCGATTTTGGCTTTGATATGGCAATTCTGCTGACTTTGGAGTATTTGTTTTGGTATGGTAATAACTGCTAACTAGAACTTTGCTCTGGTATGGTAATAATTACTGACTACATTTCTGCTTCGGTATGCTGATTTATGTTTTAATAATCAATTACTATATTATATAATTACTTTTATTATATACCCCCCCTGGTAATGTAAGAGTTATTACTCTTTATAACTCTATTCCTAGTCCTGCGGATTTCAATTTAGATTGCCGAGTGTTGATTAAAGCCGTGCTCGAAACGCTACGCGTGTTAATGGCTTTACAAGAATGTAAAAACATCAATGCTATATACTCTCATAAACCTAATGTACCCTCTTGTATATAAATAATAACAATAAAATAATAATGCCAATATTGCTTTATTTAATACCACGCCTGCTGCTATTACTGGTCTTGCTATGGATATTTCTAGTAATACTAATACTGTCGGTTTTAATAATAATAATATGTATTGATACTTTTGTAAAGATACATCAAGTAACACTAGAATAATAATGAATATTTCTCGAAATGTTTTGAAGCTATATGTAGCC